GTTGATTATTGAATTATCTTTTTGGAATTGTTCGTGTTATTTTGAATAATTCACCATGATGTGTTGAGTCTTATTTAGATTGATCACCTAGATTAGGCTTTACATATCTACACCTGAATTAGGCCTTCAATCCGTAATTGTTGATGTGTTTAATTCGCAAGTGGTATCCGGAAGATGGTAACTACCGGGGATAACACGACCTATTTAAGTGAACGAACGCGTCACTACTTAGTCTAGCCTATTTTTCTAATCCGTAAAGCGGCTGATTGTATTAAATCTAAGAAGCGTTTTCTAGACTGTACAAGAAGTCAGGTTTAATCGTAGAGCGTCTCGCGGTTAAATTAAACTTAAGGAAAAATTCGGGTAACAGACCGTGTCGTTGCCTAGGGCTAGTAATTTCATAAGATAGCGAGATTTGATGCCAGAATTGATTAGACAAGTCAGTCGAGGGTGTAGACGGAACCGTGAACTAGAAATTTCTCTTATTTATTTTATATTTATTTTTATTTCCTTTCTTTATATTTTTATATTTTTAGTTAGTTTAATTATCAAATCCCAATCCCCCCATTTACCGCTTTTCTAAATTCAATTATTACAAAAAATTTACAATTTGATTCACACTCCCTGTGGGTTCGACCCTTACTCACTACTACTACTAGTTGGTAGAAGTCGAATAAGGAATTTATAAATATTAATTTTGCCGCGTTGCGACGCGCGGTCATTAAGTACTTTTTTTTTATGGGTACAAAAAAGGAGGCTAAGGCCGAAAGATAGAAAACGACTAGACTAATACGCTCCGGGGATAGGACACCCCCATAAGATCGTGATTGAGCCATGACCCTACGTCTGGAGGCGGAGCTGACATACGGTGCAGCCCAAGAGAGTGTGAATCCGCAAAGCTTGCCATGAAATCCGCAGTAAAATTAGCTTCCCTATGCACATGATGAATTCTTAACTACTTTTCTACTGACCGTTAGTAGTTTACATTTAAAAAATCATGATTAATTTAATATATACATATATAACCATGAAAACTCCAAAAAAAGGTGCTATATGAGTGTGACACATGAAGGTTCACACATTGCTAGGGTAAAATCTAAAATGTGGGCGCGGCCAGCTGTTAATTGACTTATTATTATTTATTATCCAATTATCTTGTGAGTATACTTATTATATTTATTATCCAATCTAAAATGGTCACTTTCATTTTTTATTTATGACAAATATATGGAGCAGCCTTCTTTATGTGGTCACGCCTAACTATGGGCATTAATTAATATCGGTTTTGCTAGTTGGCTTCATAGTGGAGTCACCCTTCTATATACAACAAATAAATCTACTATATTAATAATTTTTTTTTTCAAACTATATTAATAAAATTATAATAGTGTTATTTAAGTAATCAAAGATAATGGTAAGTTAATTTGTTGTATATAGAAGGTTGACTCCACTATAGAGCCAACTGTTGACTTTATAGCAAAACCGTAATTAATATATATCATATTAGAAAGACGTATTATTTCATTAGTTGTAACTTGTAAGTGGTTCCATTTATATAAGGTTATGTTTTTATTAACTCATGTTAGTTGAATCACAAGTTAAAATTAATTCACATTCATTTTTCAGCTCAACAATCTTCTTTAAGACTACCTACATATCGAATACAAATATGGTATAATTACTCATTTTAATGAGATTATACAAAACATGTTTATTTATTCAAAAAAATGTGGAAATTTCGAACGGTTTAGAACAATTATAGATCATTTTAGATTGTCTACATTGGATTCTCTCGTCCGAAGTGAACGTACAAGAGATTATTAGCACGTCATTTATAAAATTTTCTCAAATATGTTGTTTAAATTGAGAAGCCAAACTTTAAAATCCAACGTGGTTTGATTCTATTATTCTAATGTATAAATTTTTTTATTCGGTTTCGATTTAATTTTTTCTTTTTTACGTTTTGCGATGCAATTTAGCTGTTTTTCTTGTTTTCACAAATTTGATTTTTATTATTTTATCAGTTCGTTACAATTTTGCACGAGACGAATTCAAATGTATAAAAAACTTAAAAACATATGAATTCAGTGTGATTCGGTTCAATTATTTGGGTGTAAAAACTTTTAATTCAATTTCAGCTTGAATTTTGTGTACTGGGGTTGAGTTTAAAAATTTCATAATTTCCAATTACTTTTTTTTGGTAGCCAACCATGGTATCTGGAACTATGTCTCGACTAATCCGTTGGTCGATTGGGTCGCACACCTGACAGTGGTGGGTGAGTCTCCCAACAAGGGTTTTCTGCATCCACAAGGACTCGAACCTAATACTTTGATTAAGCGGCATCAAACTGCTTACCACTTGAGTCTATCATGTTCGTAAATTATTATTTTTGCCACCATTGTTGTTTGCAGGGTAGTTATCTAAACAGAGTGTCATTAGCCACTTTCAAATTTTCTTTCCGTTAATTAATACATCCAATTCTCTCTCTCTCTCTCTCTCTCTCTCTCTCTCTCTCTCTCTCTCTCTCTCTCTCTAAGAAGGAATGAAAGGGGAAAAAAACAGTAACAAAATCAAAATATATTTGAATTAGAATACTTTTTTCTCTCCTTCACTTTTCGTAGACAGGCCAAGGAAGCGTATAGAAGAAAGCGAACGCTACCTCTTCATATACACTGAAAAAAAATCTTAAAATACTTTGTACAGATAAAATTTTTAGATATTAAAGGTTGATCTTCTTCTTCTTCTTCTTCTTCTGAGTTTTGTATAATCATGGCGGCGAGTATTGGGATGATGGATGGCGCATACTTTGTGGGGAGGAACGAAATTCTTGCGTGGATCAACGCGAGGCTTCACCTTAATCTTTCTCGAGTTGAGGAGGTGAAAAAATGAAAAAAAATCCCAATTCTTCTTACATGGAAAATTTTGGATTTTGCTTTATTTTTTTTCTGTGTTTTTGGTTGATTTATGGTTGTGGGAAAGAGAATGATGTTCTGATTTTATGCTTCTTGGCTAATTTTGAGTTTATTAGGTTTTTGCACTGTAAAATTCCTTTATTTATTTCTTTTTGCTTTTCCTTTTTTTGTTTCGTTTAAGATGTGAAATTTGGTGGGTACTGTGTTTGTTGGGGTACTTCGGTTCATAGGGTTTGACAAAGTTTGATTCTTTCTTTTCTTCTAAGTTGTGTGGTTGTGTGTGTGTGTGTGTGTGTGTGTGTGTGTGTGTGTGTGCTGATTGTTTAATTGTTCAAAAATAATGGTGGATTCATTGTATGGTGATTTATATGTGCTGTAAATTGTTCCATTGCCTATGTTTTCGTCCGGGTGTTTCCGGAGAATTTGTGTGTTCTTGGTTTATAATTTAGTGGTGTTCTGGACAAGGCATTTTGCGAATTCGATTCGAACCCATTAAGGACATTTAATCAAGACAAAATCTTGAAAAGAATGAATCTGGAATGAGCTATTTGTCGTACAATGTAGTTTTTATTGATAAAATAATTGCTTCAAAGGTGAATGAACCGAACCCTAGCCTTTAAGGAGGAAGGAATTTTTGGTGCAGAATTTGCACAAGCTGATGGCCTTGATTTGATCGCTTGCTATTATGAAATGTTCGAATGAGTTCAATGTAAACTACTACTACACAGGCCACAAGTGGTTGATACTTGAGTGTTATTCTCATAAACCCTTCTTTGGTTTTATTTTTTTAATTAAATATAGGCAGCATCAGGGGCTGTGCAATGTCAGTTGATGGATATGGCAAATCCGGGAGTCGTTCCCATGCACAAGGTGACCAACTGAAAGTTCGTAAATTTTCTTGTTTGTGGTTGTAATATTATGTCATTAATAACATGTAATTCTATCCTAGGTTAATTTTGATGCGAAGACTGAATATGATATGATTCAAAACTACAAAGTACTTCAGGATGTATTCAACAAACTCAAGATCGACAAGGTGTTCCTCCCGTTTATACATTCTTTTTCATCTCATCTACATATCTTGATATAAACATACTATTAGATTTTTTTTTCTCAAGTGGCTTTCCTGAATTTATAATTTGTTCAAATTTTGCAGCATATTGAGGTCAACAAACTGGTCAAAGGGAGGCCGTTGGACAACTTGGAGTTTCTGCAATGGATGAAACGATACTGTGATTCCATAAATGGTGGAATGATGAACGAGTAAACTTCTTTCTTAGTGTGCCCTGTTGATCGAACTTAAGTAGTACTCGATATTAGTTCTTTTTGTGACATGTGTGTGATTTGTGTAGGAATTATAATCCCACAGAGCGTAGAACAAGAGGTGGAAAGGACAGAAATTTGAAGGGTTCTCAGAAGAGCTTCAAATCATTGCAAACAAACAACTCACTGAATTCCAGCTCGTGCAACAGTGTTGGTAGTAATAGGGTTTCTGGTGAGCAAGAACCTTTCATTTTCATTTGATTTTTTGGTTCTTTTCTTAATTTTTTCATATTAATTTCATTTTTCCAGTTGTGAAACAAGGGAAATCAAGTGGTCTAGCTGCCAGGCCAGAATCTTCAGATGAGATTCAAGTTTTAACAAAGGAGGTAAATTAAAGTGTATTGTGTTCTCGTCAACTATCGTGTGAGTTTGTGTGTGTATGTGTGTGTGTGTGTGTGTGTTATTTTTTACTTCCCTTAAATCCTCTGAAGAATGGCGTTGCTTTTTCCATTGTTCTGTGCTGTATACTTCATATTTCCTCTCATTTTCGAAAAAGGAAAAAAAAAGGGAAATCTGTAACTTTGCGGTTGTCACGCTTTTTCATTCACGATTTTTTGTTATGGATTTCACTTCATATGCATTTTGTAATTCATTATAGTAGCAATAGTGATAGCTTCCAGCTAGTTCTTTGTATTGCAAGGGTTGTTAAACAAAATTATCCATGCAGTTTATTCTAATAACAAAGTGAATGGCTTTTTTCTTGAATTTATAAATGTCTTCTTGAAGGAGAGCCTTCTGCAAGTATCCCGCAGAAGTTGGTTCTGCAGGTTTTGCTGTTGTTTAAGCTTAACTCAATGCTTCGTTTTGACAATATGATGTGATATGACTCAGCTAACCGAACTCAAGCTTTCTGTTGACCTTTTGGAGAAGGAAAGAGATTTTTATTTTGCAAAACTGCGAGACATAGAAATCCTTTGTCAGACGCCTGAGTTGGAAAATCTTCCGGTAAGAATTTCTCACGGTAGTGAGGCTGTTGAATTTCTCTACTGCAAAGAAGTTTTAGGTTTAAAATATTTGTAGATTGTTCATTTTACAGCTTACTATTATAGTATTATATTCGTAGAAAGTTATGATGGTTGTTTATGTGCTTATACTAATAATTTTTACACTTGTTTATGTATTTGGGCGTAGTCGATTTTAGAGTAGTTTTTGTAGTTACCTTCATACGTATAGTTTAATGATTTTCTTGTTATTTCAACTTACAATATGTACAAACTGATGCAACTTAACTTGCACGTAGAAATGTTTACAACTCCCGTCTTATTGGAATATATTGCAGATGGCTGTGGGGGTTAAGAAAATACTATATGCTGCGGATGAGAAAGAGTCTGCTCTTGCAGAAGCTCAAGAAATTGTGTCCCGATCAATGACTGTTGAAGAAAATGGATTTTCGGATGATTGTGACTGAATGAATACGACTTGCCTTTAAGACTAGCAGCTGAACTCTTGAAGTCGTTTGTGAAGAAAAAGAATATTACTGTAGGATTTTTTAGCTGAGTTGTTTTTGTTCGGTGAACTTGATGTGTAGTCAGTTACTGACTTCGAAAATTCGGAATTATTTGGTGGTGTTGCAATTGTTGCGTAAACAATGTTTATAAGGTTGATGATGAATTGGTTTCTGTGTGGTTATTAGAACTTCTGGAATTAGAATTAACCGCCTCGTGTTTTGAGGCAATTGTGCATTCAGTATCTGTTTAATTTCTTTATTGTTTGCATAATTTCCATAATATTCTGTGTTCTTACAAGTAGCATAAACCTAGGGTGTATTTTTCTGCAAAAACACCAACACGAACTAATTTTGAAGCTCATATAGTAGCTTGAATGTTATCCAAGCACAGAACAATTCGAAATGAATCCGAGACTCTTCAACCCAAAATACTATCTTCATGGATTGAAATACAAAACCAAAACATTCTAGCTATATAACCTAAAAGCTCGATACAAACTCGATCCTGCAATTAGGTCAACGGATGTTACCTTTCCAAAAAAGAATCGATATAGAGATTCCTAAACTAAATCTGGCACGAGGAAGACTACATACTTGGTTCAGAGCTTCATGTGGAAGCAGTGTTTATAACATGCCATGTCTTATCACCAAGCGGACCTATTGCCCGACAAGGAGGCCCCTGAGATGCCCTTGCAGCCATTTCTTTCAACTGGACCAAAAATATTTCCAGTTAGTTGTGTACTAGAATAAATAAATAAAAATACACTCATGAAGTGCTTCATCCAACTTCCCTTTTCAGTTTTTCCTCTTCTACCTATGAAATGAATATAAAATAAACTCATTGTGAAGTGCTCCATCCAAATTCATTTTTCCTCCTACCAATGAAACGAGTCCTTCGGTTTGAAGGAAATTACGGAAATAAAGGATTCTAAATCTGATAAAAGTGATAGGAGGAAAATCAAGTATGGTAAAATGATTCAGCATCCCCATTTATATAAAAGTAGTTAATGATCATAATCCAATATATTATACGTTTATAAAGCTAGCTACTGAACAAGTTATCCTGAAGTTAAATAGTATGAGAAATTTCAAGCAGATAGTGATATAACTGCAACCAATTACCTGACCCGTGAGATACTTTATTGAGGCCTTTGCAGCATTATTTTTCCCAGACTCGACCTTGAACAGTGCAGTGGCCTCACTTAGTTGATTTGATGTTCTCTCGAGTTCTTCTGCAAGGGACTCGGACTTCTGGGTGAGAACTTGTACCTGCAGTGGATTAAGTCAAGCCACTCGGTCCAGTCACTATATCGATATTTAAGCCAGTAAGTAACAACTTGAGCATGATCAACATCAAATATCCTATAGACATGTAATAGTTTTTACCTGTTCCCTCAAAAAAGAGATTTCTTCTGTAAGATCTTCAGTTGCTTGGTTTGGATCATCAACAACTTCTTCATGGTCAGGAATGTTGCAAAGCAAAGAGGGAAGTGAAAGGGCAGCTGGGCTTGACTTTGTGGAAAAAGGAGAAGATCCCGACTGCAGCTTCGAATCCTGAAGTGAATCATGCAACCCCTCACAGATTTCAAACATGGACGTTGAGCGGCTCGACAGGAAGGACTTGGTGCATCTCAGATTTCTACTGCCTGAATCCATCTTCTGATTTGCCTCAGTAAGCTTGGTGGACCTCCTGAACGAGTTGAACGACGATAGTCCTGGTTTCCTAGGTTTGGAGGAGTCTTTCTTTGGCTCATTGCTAGGGCTGGCATGCACGCACGGGCTACTGCTCGACTTTGGAGGCCGGGAGGTTGCTCGGTTGCCCGAACCATTTTTTAGCTTAGCAAAACAGTCTTCACACACGCGGTACAATTTGTTCTGGTTTAAAGCTAAGGAAGCTCCTAGAGATTTGTTACTGGCACACGCTTTGCAGAAAAACAACCCACAGTTGTAGCAGTTGTGCCGCTTGCGCTTGAAGCTAAATGGATTACGACATCTGGCACAAATCGAGTAGTCGGACGGGCATACCAATTGCTGAAGACAAATTACGGCCGTAAAATTCTTTCCACATACGACCCTCTTTACTATTCTCCCTTCAAAGGATTTAACTGTAGTAGGAGAATTTCGGTCGGTATTGTCCCCATGGCCTAACTGACCGTTTTTTCCCTTTCCCCAGGTGAATACCTCAGATGATGAGGTCAGGGCAACCACATGATGGGAGCCGCACGATATTTCTTTGACAAAGCAGTTCTTTAGTTTACCCTCGACACGTGTGGGCAACATATGCGTGTCTCCAGAAATAGTGCTTCCCATTGAATATACTTGACCACATTCGGTGAGGGCAACTGTAACACATTGCCCACAGGCTACTTGACAGAAGTTTTTGTCATTCGGCATAGTAACACTGTTTGGAATTAGTCGGCATAGCTTATCACCTTGCCCCAGCTGACCGTCGTCTCCATTTCCCCAAGTGAACAGCTTCCCAGTTGGAGAGTTGGTGACATTTGGAGATTCAGAACAAACCTCTATTATTGCAGCAGTATGCCAAAACCCGCAAGATATTTTTACAGCCTTTTGTCCTTTTAGAGCCAAAATTTCCCTCGGGAAACCCGTGCACAAGTTATCCCCGTGACCTAGGGCGCCAAAAGTCCCATCGCCGAACGTGAACAGCTGACCTAGTGACGTGATAGCGGCTGAATGCCAGGGCCCACAAGATACAGAAGTTACACAGATGCCTTCCAACGTGCCCCTAACTTTCCGTGGAGCCCAGTAGCTGAGTTCGGTGTCATGGCCGAGGAGGCCAGAGTTGTGGACGCCATCTCCCCATGTGTACAAGTCTCCAGATAGTGTTACAGCACAGGTGTGATATTCTCCACATCCGACTGAAACGATTTTTGACCCGGAAAGAGAATTAATGAGCTGAGGGCTAGGCACATCAGCTTGTGATCCATGTCCCAGCTTGCCACCCAAGCCGTCTCCCCAACTAAAAACATGTCCTTGTCTTGTGATTAGTACCGCATGTCTACTGCCGAGAGCAATGTGTTGAGCATCGAGTGTTGAAGCAGATTCCAGAACCTTTGGAGAAAATGCATTCTTTAACGAAACAGTTTCGGACATGCCTCCATCCAGCGGACCATCCTCAATTCCTTCCCCACATATGAAAATGATGCTTAAAGGAATATCTCCTGGAGAAGATTCTTGACTCAATGTGCTTAAGGCACTGGAAGAACTGAGTCGGAAAGTATCTGCAGAGTTTCTCCTGGAGACATTTTCATTTACCATTCCAAAAAAGAGACCATAATCTCTTTGTGGGGACTGCGGGGATGATGTTTTCTGCAGGGTTATATCAGAAAGTACTTTCTCCAGTCTTTTCTGAGGCAATCTATCAGATGCTAGATCACTTATTTGAAGGTTCTGTTTCTCCTGGAGACATTTTCATTTACACATTCAGCCGCTATCACGTATTATGAATTCGAATCAGATGCAATATAAGAGAGTTGGGAAATATCATAGAAAGAAACCTCTTGAAGTGCATCTTCGCTGCTATTGGACACGATGGAGAGAGAATTTTCTGTTTGATCACTTGAATAGCCTGACAATGAGGCATCCGTCTTAATTTCAGTTCCCCATTTTCTGTAGTTACCCCGCGAAACCAATGTCTGCAGGGCCAAGAACCAGATCTCGGCTTCAGATTTGTCTTTGCATATCTGTTGAAATTGTACAATGGTCACTGGAATAATTTTGTGAGGAAGCATTAAAAAATAGATTAAAGTTCTACTCTTCATACATATACTAGTTTCCAATCTCTCAGTTATTTTTCTCGAGGAAAGTGCACAAGTTGACATGGTATCAGTTGAAAAGAGTGAAGTCAATGGCAGAATTCAAACACAGTAAACAAGCAACTGAAGTAGCAGGGATAATCATTTTCAAGATCTTTCAAGAGTATCTGAAACTACTTTACCATAATCTACTTTATTTGGATTAATTGAGCTCAAGTAAAATTAAACAAA